TTGGGCCTACCAGAGTGAGTTCACTGAAAAATTTTAAAACATGTTAGCCTAAAAAAAAAAAAAAAAAAAAAATGTTAGCCTGTCCTGTAGGTTTAAGGTTGATCTTTTTTTTTTTCTTTTTGACAGAGAGAGACACAGCGAGAGAGGAAACACAAGCAGGGGGAGTGGGAGAGGGAGAAGCAGGCTTCCCGCTGAGCAGGGAGCCCGATGTGGGACTCGATCCCAGGACACTGGGACCATGACCTGAGCCAAAGGCAGACGCTTAATGACTGAGCCACCCAGGAGCCCTAAGATTGATCTTTATGTGTTTGCCAGATAAAACAGTTCGAATATGGGTGTTAATTATTTGCTCATTTTGGTAAAATCTGACCAGTAATGTCTGCTTCTTAGGACTGAATCATACCTCGGTAGGTAGGAGGATGCGGTACTGGGATTTAGGGAGGCTCCTTGAGCGGTTTTGAAGTCTGGTGCTGTATACCTCCTATACGAGGCCATTATAGGGATTACTTGTGATAATGTGGATAAAATGCCTGGCATACAGTAGGTGCTTAATAAGTATTCTTCATTCTCTCGTATTATTAGTGATGGCCGAATATTGCAGTTCTCCTAAAATTGTTTTTAGACTAGATTGGTATAGATACATATTTTTAGGCATGTTGAGCTCTATCCTGACTTCAGCAGTGTTGTTTCACATTGACACTTAAGAAAAGCAGTAATAACATATTGAAAGTGTATAGTTTCCTCATTAAATTATAGGTTGATGGTGATTCAGGAAATCATGCATATTTTGAATTTCTTGGTGATATGAGACAAGGTTGAACAGTATTCAAGAGTGGAGTAATAGTATCAGAATCCAACCTGCTCCAGTTTTGTGAAATTTAGTTCAGCACATAAAAACACTGCGTTGATAAAATACTCTTTATACAGTGTCCACTAGGAACTCCACAAAGTAGAGACTTGGAGTCTGGGGATTAGAGATGGAAATGTGCGCAGGCTGATGCAGCCAGTGAGAGTCATGAGACTTTTGGAAGACGGCTTACTCATGAAAAGAGCCTTGAAATCATTGGCTATAGGCTGAGCAATGCCTTTGGAAGCGTTAAAGCAATTAGTAGCTTTACCAGAGAAGTTTAAAGAACCACTTTGTGAAAGAAAGCAGCCACAGCTAGCCTCTCCGTCACCGTTCTTCCTGTCACCCAGTTTAGGCATCTGTGAAGCTGTGAGGTCTCCTTACAGATACTGTGGCAAATAACATAACAGTGGGAGCTCAAGAGGAACTCCCATCAAGTCGAGGCCCATAAGCAAGACGTTAGTAAATAAACGCATACTTTCCCAAAGGAATTCGCAGTTGGATAGTTGCAGTGTAAGTTGAGGGAATTTGGTATTGATAACTGAGACCCAAATGTCATATTTGTAATGTTCTACTTAACTCTTAAAGTTGGTAACACATAATGTGTTCATAACGTGGGAAAACTAAAATTTCAGTGAAAAATATGATCAGTGATAAAATGATATGAAGACTGTGTGTGCAAGTTACTCTGCAAAATTTGATTGTAACTGCATTGTCCATGTTCTCTAAGAGCTTTCTGTTAAGAATAGTTGGGTCTGGAGATTTAGTTAGATTGCCTACACATAATCTTATTTTCAACTATTTATTCAGTAAATATATATTGGTGACAAGGCATTTTCTTGCCACTGGAGGGATACAGTATTGGACAAAACAAAAATTTCTTCCCTTAAGAAACCTAAAGTCTACAAGGGGAAGAGAAAAAAGAGAGGAGGGGGGGAAAGGTATCCAGTGGGGCTGATATTAAGGAATGAATGGATATAAACAAATATAAGTAAATCAAGGTAGCTGGATAGAAAGTTGTAATGGTGGTGATGGGGTGTTACATGGAATAGAGTGGCCAGGGAAGGCCCCCCTGGCGGATTGATACTTGGAAGAAGAGTCTGCTGTGGGTGAGCAAGAATGCCATGCAAATGTCTCTGAAAAAGCACATTCTGGAGAGAGGAACAGCAGTCTACTGCAAAGACCCTGGCATGAGTATGTTCACATCCTCAAGGAGCAGCAAAGAAGGCAGTAGGACGAGAGGGGTGAACGAGGAAGAGAGTGGTAATGATGAAGCAAGAGAGGTTACTTGGGGCTAGTTAGGGATCTTGAAGGTGACTATGGTGACTTTTACTCTGAGAAAGGAAACTTTTGGTGGGCTTTGAGCAGATAAGTGACATGATCTGATTTTTTATCAATATGAGTCTGAAAAAATAAATCAAGATGACTCTGGCCTTTTGTTTTGAAAACTGTGCAGTGAAGCAAGGGAAAAGTCAGCTGGGAGGCTATTGCAGTAATCCAGATGGAGGCGAAGGAGGCTCAGATAGCAGTTGTGGTGGTGGAAGTAGGGAGAAGTAGTTAGAATTTTAGATATATTTTTAAGGTTGAGCCAACAGGATTTGCTGATGGATTGGATATGTGGTGCGAGGGAAGGCGAAAAGTCAGGGATGACTTGGAAGATTGAATTACCATTTACTGAGATGGGGAATCCTGTAGGAGCATCAGTCTTAGTGGGGTGGAACATCAAGAGTTTGGCGTGGGGTGATGTTAAATGTGAAATGTCTGTTAGACATCCAAGAGGAGATGTCAAGTAGGGAGCTGAAAATATGAGCCTTGAGTTAAGGGAAGAGGTTCAGGCTCTTACTGGTGGTATTTAAAGCGGTGTGAGACCCGTTGAGATGAGCAAGAGGAGGGAGTAGAGGTAGAGAAGAAGTTTGAGAACCGAAGGCCCTGGGTCACTCTAACTTAAGAGGCTGGCATAATGAGAAGTCTAAGAAGGAATGGCCAATGAAGGAGGAGGAGAGTCAGGAAGAGTGTGGTGTCCTAGAAACCAAGCAAAGAAAGTATTTAAAGAAAGAGGGGAGTGATCAGCTCTGTTAAATACTAGACAGGTTTGGTAAGACGAGGTCCAGTTAAGATGAAAACTGACTATTAGATTTAGTAAAAATTGTCTCTTCTGGCTTTTTTTTTTCCCCCAAGTGGCCTTGAATGAATTCAGTTAGGCGCTCTCTGGAGATAACAATGCCACCTGCCTCAGGGAGTGGTTGTGACAAACAGTTTAAAAGAATAATTCATTTTAAGTGCCTGTCTCAGTACCTGGCTAGTTCAAGATGGTTGGGTAGATACCAAGACCTTGCCTAGTTCAGGATGGAGGTCATTGGTGGCTTTAACAAGGGCAGTTTCAGCACAGCAGTGGGGACAAAAGCCTGAATGGAATGGGTTCAGGTGAAGATGAGGGGAAAGAATTGGAGACAGCAGATACAGTCAGCCCTTTGAGTATTCCTATAAAATTGGATTAGAGAAATGGGGAGTACACGGGAATGTGGGGTCAAGAGAGAGGTCTTTCTCTCTCCCTTTCTTTCAGGTTGGGAGGAAGTACAGACTGCATGCTTATGAGAATCATCCTGTGTAGAGGGGACCATTGATGATGTAGTTGGATTTAGGATTGTGAGATGTTTTGGTCATAAATCATAAATTGACTGAAATAACTAGATTGTCCTTTGTCTCCTTACTTTCTCCTTCTCAGTCTTTCATTCATTCGTTCACCAGATATTTACTAAAGGTTCACAAGGTGGCAAGGACCATGCCAGGTGCTGGGTAAAAAGATGATTAAGAAGTGAATCAAACAAGAGTGATGTCTACACTCATGAAGTTTTTACCATCTGGTGGAGATAGGCTTTCTAAAAGCACACAAGTCAGTACAGATTTTGATGAATGCTCTGTAGGAAAAGTATAGAGTACTTTTTGGGAGAGAGGAAACCATGGGGTTACTTGGATTTGGAGCATTAGGAGTCTCTCAGACGACTGAGAAGAGCAGAACGGAGCTCACAGAGGCTCTGGGGCAGGGGAGGACCTGCTGCGTTTGAGGGTTTGAGAGGCAGGGAGGGACCAGGTCTCCCTGAGCTTTGGAGGCCCTGTTAAGGTTTTGGATTGCATTCAAGGAGCAATGGGAAGCCATTGGGAAGTTGGGAAGTGACGTGATGGGACTTGCATTGGGGAAGAAAACTGTGTGGGAGTGCATGTCCTGGTGAGTGGATTGGAGGCGGTGAGTGTGGAAGAAGGAGCGCCAGTGTAGGCAAAAAAAGATACTATCTGTAAAATCTTTAGACTGAAGTAGTTAACAATTTTGGTATGAAAAAGGTAGAATTGAGAATATCCTCTGTTTAGCAGACTTCGCTTTGAGCTCGCCAGGTTTCTCAGCAGCTGTGAAAAGGGCATTTCTTGTTGAAAATAACGTCAGTACAGAAGAGTCAGATGACGTCAGTGATTTCAGATTATTTAACATAAAATGAGACTTTGAAAAAGACTTTGGCAACTTTGTGAAAAATTAAAAATAATCAGACCATGTCAGCCTTTTTTCCCAGACAACAGTACAAGTGATAGAGTATTACAGGCGGAATCTCTTAGGAAAACAGATTGACGGACAACAATATGTACCAAGAGTAATTAATCTGCTTATGATATTTTAAGCATTCATGTAATGTAAATAAACCTTTAGTTTTTGTTTTAATGTAGTGGACATACATTATTTTTATTTTTTAGAATATAAATCAATATAATAAAGACCGTTTACTAGCTAATAAATAAATATTTCCAAAGTTCCTCTTTTCACTCTCAAAAGTGTGTTCCTTTGTATGGTTAGGGAATGAGGATCTCTACCGTTGAAGGATCAGACCGGTAAAAGGTGATCAGGTGATAGTGCAGGATGCATGTATTATTAAATTAAGTTGGGCTTCTCCCCAAAGAGAGTTCTGAAAACAGAGGGCGGTTGTAATACCAAGTATTGCCAGCCTAGCTCAGCTCACCCACACCCCCAGGGCGGTGAATTAACATGTTCTGAGCCCTCATGTAGAAGGGAAAGAAAAGAAGAAACAGAAGTTACTGCCTATCTAGACATTACACTTGAGAGAAGTTCTCTCTTGGTTGTAACTCCCATTTTTTTTTTCTCACCCAGGCATTTTATTAATGCTTTTGAAGATTAGAAGATATTTTGCCTTCTGGAGTTTCTCTGACTTGCTTGATGATGATTTAAGCTCAAAGCTGCCAGTTTAGGGGAGATGATCAATAAGCCCTTGTAACATCTGAGTAAGTAGAGATGCTGCTGTTGTGTTTAACTGCTTAAGAAAAAAGTAAAATTTTGAACTTTAAAGGTTTAAAGTATTACACATTTTAATTGGATCCTTTAAATTTTGTTGTTGAATAATGATGGCAATTACTGTAATTCCAACAAGTGAATATTTATAAGTAGTGGGATTCCAGAAGAAATTAATCCCCTGTGATAAAAAAAGTTTGTGAAAACATTTTCCATGCATAATACTTGAGCTTGTAAGAAACATAGTGAAGATCTAAATGTGTATATTAAAAATTTAAAAGCATTCTCCCTAGTGCTTTGTTTTACTTTTATGTTATGAAATGCAAAATTATTGGTAAGGCAGCTTTTGAATTTTAAAAATACGACTGTATCTATACTGAAATTGTGTTTTAACATAGAATGTATTTTGGCTAACTTGATAATAAATACTGGTTTGTTTTGTGGAAGTAGAATTTTAATAGCTCTTTCCATTTGAAAATAATGATTTTTTTTTCCCTGCTAATATAGATAAGAACACAGACTCTCTCTGGATTTAACTCTCTTTTTTAATTGAGGAGACTAAGAAAGAAGGGCATACAAGCTTTCTAATTTTATTTATTTATTTATTTATTAAGATTTTATTTATTTATTTGAGAGAGAGAGAGAGAGAGCACAAGAGCGGGGAGCGGGAGAGGGAGAAGCAGACTCCCTGCTGAGCAGGGAGCCCGATGTGGGACTCGATCCCAGGACTCCAGGATCATGACCTGAGCCGAAGGCAGTTGCTTAACCAACTGAGCCACCCAGGCGCCCGGGCATACAAGCTTTCTAATCAAAACATCTGAATGAAATTTTTAAAAAGATTAATTAATTAATTAATTAATTTACTTATTTATCAGAGAGAGAGCAGGAACAGGGGGTGTGGCAGGCAGAGGCAGAGGGAGAAGCAGGCTCCCTGTTGAGCAAGGAGCCTGATGTGGGACTCAATCCCAGGACCCCAGGATCACGACCTGAGCTGAAGGCAGCCGCTTAACGGACTGAGCCACCCACACGTCCCCTGAATGAAATTTAAAGAGTTGAGCCAGTAATCTTGATATAAATTGTTTCTCAGAATGAAAGCTATTACTCCTCTTGTAATAACAATTGAAACTATTTTAACAAAAAGTAGGAAACCATGAGGCTGTACCAGGTCTTGTTTTGAAATACAAAGTTAAAAACAATTAATAAATATACAGATGTTTCCCTCTATGTTGGGGTTATTTAAATTTGGTCTATATCTGTGCTGTTCCATATGGCAGCCACTGGCCACGAGTAGCTATTGACATTTGAAATGTGGCTAGCACCCTGGGATGTGTTGTGCATAAAGTACACACCACATTCAAAGACTTAGTGTGAAAAAAAAAAAACCCTCTAAAATATTTTATTAATAATTTTTGTATGAATCACATGTTGAAATGACAATGTTTTGGATATATTAGGTTAAATAAATCACTTAAAAAATTTCACTTGTTTTCTTTCACATTTTTATGTGACTGCTGGAAAATTCTAAATTACTTGTGGATTACATTATATTTCCAATGGGCAGAAGTAGTCATATGTGATCAGCATTCTTAGTTATCCATTACTCAGCATTCTGTAGGCTTGAACCTTCTGGTGTGTGTATGGATCAATTAATATAAATCTGTATTATTTTAAGGATAGGCTTCCTTGATTCATCAGATATTTCCTAGTACCTGCCATGTGCCAGACAGTATTCTAGGCACTGGCCGTACAGTAGGGAACAAAATAAAATATCCTGGGGCACCTGGGTAGCTCATTCATTATAGTGTCCGACTCGATTTCAGCTCAGGTCTCGATCTCGGCATCATGAGTTCAAGCCCCGCACTGGGCTCCATGCTCGGCGTGGTTGTAACTCCCGTTGCCCTTCTTAAAAAAAAAATAAAATGTTCAGCTTTCATGGAGTTAATATTCTAGTGGAGACTAAAAACAGACTAAAAACAAATAAATAAGATAAAAAATACAGTCTGTTAGAAAGCCATAAGCGATTTGGAAACAATGTAGGGTGTTCAAGGAAAGCCTCACTGAGGAAGGTGAGAGAGAGACCTTGTAGAGGTCTGGGGGAAGACTGTTCCAGGCACAGGGAGTAGAAACACGGAGTGTGCTTGGCTTGTTCGAGTGGTAGAAGGAGGTGTGGTGATGGTTTGGAGTGGAGTGAGTGAGGGGGAGAGGAGATGAAAGGTAACACATGGGCACAGCAGGTGATCATTTGCAAGGACTTTTGGCTTTGAGTGCGTTTTGAGTGGGTTTTGAGAAGAGAAGTGACCGGATCTTTCTGTGGAAGCTGTTTTGACTGGACTCCTCTGGGGTGAGGGTGGGAGCATTTGCACGGGCGGAAGCCAAGAGCCCCGGGGCTACTACAGTGCCCCACATGGGAGATGGTGATGCCTGATCCCATAAATGAAGGAAGTGATGAGAAGGGAGGGAATTCTAGTCACCCGTTACTGTGGAACTGGATATGGAATGAGAGAAAGAGACGTGTCAAGGATGACGCTGTTTGCAGCTTGAACAGCTGAAGAATGGACGAACAGATTGACGGGGAGGGGGCTGCTCGGTCTGGGACACATTAAGTTTGAGATGCCTCCTTAGACGTCTAAGTGGAAAGGTCAAGTAGGCAGGATCTGGAGTTCAGTGAGAGGTCAGGGCTGAAGAGGCAAATTTGAAATCATAAGCAATTACCATTATTTTAAAGCCCTAAGAAGAGTTGAGGCCACCAAGGGAGTGAGAACAGTTGGAAAAGAGGAGAGGGAGTGGAGAGTAATTCAGGAGCACCATCCATGCTCAGAGAGGCCCATTGGACCCGTGTTGTTGAATTAGCGTCTGTTTTCTCCTGTGTGGCAGTGATGCTCTAGCTACGTGGGAGATGCTCTTATCCCTGGAAGCTGCACACTGAAGTATTCAGGAGTGAAGTGTCCTACATCTCTCTCCCCCTTTTGGATGGTCTGGCACAAAGGAAGTAGAGAAGAAACCAGGAGTATGTTAAAATGTCAGCCGTAGGCCTTTAGACGAGGACTATTCAGACATGAATACCCGAATACTTTCTACTTCTCTGCAGGTTCAAAGATTTTTTTAAAAGCACCCCTGAAGAGGGACAAATGTGAGGATGGTGGGCTGCCATTTTTCATAAGCCTTGCTGAGTGTTTGAGTCTACACACTCCATAGATGTTTGACTTTGATAAGAATAGAAAACAATCAATCAAAGCTCGTAGGGGAAACATGATAACTTTGAGAAATGTTACCTAATAATCAAATCAGTTCTTTGGAAATTAGCACTTTTTAAATAGGGCTGTTGAGTCTGAGGGCTGGAATTTACCTTGGAGAAGCTCTGAGCCTGCCTCCTCCACTCTAGAGATGAATAAAATGAAGTTCAGGGAGACGAAATGACTTGCACAAGGTCACATGCCTGTGTCACAGCAGAGCCAAGTCTAGAAGCTGCATCTTTGTACTTCAGTTTCAGTAATTTAAAAAAAAGGAAAGAAGGAGGGAGAGGTCTAGGACCTGAGCCAGGGACCACTGCAACAACCGGAGTCTCAACACGAGAGCCTGAGGAACAGAAGAAGGTAGACACTGGGGTATTCTAATCACCAAGAGGAGAAAGCGTTTTGAGAAGCAAGGATAACCAGCCTTGTCAAATGCTGCTAATGGGTTAGGTAATATGTGAGCTAAAAATTGATCATTGGATTTAGCAACGAGGACGTTATTAGTGAGCTCGACAAGAGGTTTTAGTGAAGTGGTGGAGACAAAAGCCCAAATCAAACAGGTTCAAGGGAGAGTTGGAGTCGATGCCCCAAAGAGGGTGAGCGTAGACCCTCTCCTGAGGAACCGCGGAGGCAAGAGGGTTCAGGAAGTGTTTGGTTTTCATTTTCTCAATGAGAAAAATTACCACATTTCTCCCAATGTGTGTATTAAGAGAGATTTCAAGATATTCTTCTGAAATGACCCACCAGGTTTGTGACACTTAAGACCACCACCTTGTGTATGTGTGTGTGGGTAGGTTTAGTGTTTCCCTCCCAGGAGGGTTTCCTAGAATGGTGTTTCGTAGAGTGTGTGTGTGTATATGTTGTGCATGTGTGGGGAGGTTGGCATTATGTTGAAGGTTGCTTTTGTGTAGTTGTTACAAAATTTGGCTTCATTTCTTCTTGCTCGGGGAGTGCATTTACATTGCTATAATTACAATTTTTAAGGAAATAAATGTTAAGCCTATTCTCAACCAAAAGTGTTGAGAAAGCTATCATTTGGGGTAATCTCTCCTCTTTACCTTTAAGGAAGTTACCAAAATGTTGGAAGAAATGAAAGCAAAGACATGTACAAGGTCACAAGACGATACGTTGCCAGAGTAACTGGATCTTAGATCTGATTTACCAGCTATGTAGAACACTTAATCCTTGTGTATTTCAGTTCTGACAGGTATAAGATGGGGATGCTATTTGCTGTACCTACTACGTGAGGTTTTCACGAGGATCACGTGAGATAGGAGATGAAAAAGCTTTGTCAGCTACAAAGCATTCTATAAATACGATGTCCCAGCGCTAAAGGCAAGTTAAGCTTGAGGGTTTTGTGACAGTATTTGGAATAATGGGGAAAAAAATTGGATTACAAAATCTGGATTGAGAATATTTATATAATAATACTAATGGAATCTGCAAGAATTTCCTTTTTGCCTAAGTCAAGCTTTGTTAATAACATCACAGAACCCGTTGTCTTTGGGCCATTGTAGAGTTTTTGTGGTTAAGGGCCACGGCTGAGATGCAAGTAGTCATTCAGTTAATTCCCTAGGAACATCAAAATTACTGAACATCTGACTCTTTTGGTACTTTTAATATAATGTTAGTTTGCTGGCACTGTGTGGAAGAGCTCCTAATGGAAAAATATTCGGGCTATGATGATAAATTTTATGTCAGACTTGGAGAGAGCAGTTCTGTATTTGGTACTTGAAGTGAAATTATAGTCCTACTTTATT